ATATGTGCCGTTTGGTGCGCGGACGAGCATGAATCCTCCTCCACCGATGCCTGGACTTGTTAAAATACGATTCTGTCACAATGTTTGGAAGATACTCACCTGAATGGTACATGCCGACCACGCCTACACATGCCACAGTACCTACCATGGCATCGGCAGCATTTCCACCCAACTTCAGCAACTCAATACCGATGTGACTGCAGATATCACTTTCCGAAGCAACAGCACCCAACTGGCCGTCCTCCAGTATGGGCGGCGCAGGGTAATCGGAGGACCATGACTCCCCGCTCTTGACCGGAGTACCCAGGACACTCTGCAGCGTCAACAAGCCGGTGAAGCACTTGACCAGCGAACCGCGTGCCATATTCGCAGCAGCACAGTATTGACGAAAAGAGGAAGGAAGAACAAGCTCACCAAGCCAACGCGCCGCATTCCAAGTGCTCATCGTGCAGATTATATACTAGCCGAAGTCGGCTTGGTGGATCCCGCGTTTGCGCCCTGCCTTCCTCGCCCTGGTGATAGCCACGGCAATAACTGGTAACGGTACGCGGCTGGGACGGATTAGGAAGCTGCAAACGCACGAGGCTGGGATTGCGTGCGAAGCTGTCGCAATGCACCATTGCGGGCCGAGCGTGGACATGTTCAGGTAATCATATACTTGTGGTTTTGCGTAGTTTGGCCTATCGAAGTACGTGAGATAACGAAGCCGGGCCGTTGTTGGTCGGAGATAGGCGGGGGTGATAACGGTGGTCGCGTGCTGGGGTGTTTGTATGAGCAAAGAGAAATGCTGGGGATGGATGCATCGTCGTATGTGTGGTCATAACCTGAAAACATTACGGCTCAAGCAGTCGTTAAGCTTCGTTGACAGCATGTCGTTCTGTCGAGCTTCAGGGCTGGATCTCCCGGCCCGCCTAGGCAGCCCGGCTGCAACTCGATCATGGAAGAGGAAGCAGCTCGCGTTAGGCTTTTGATCAGAAACATTGACTTGAGAAACCCAGGCTTGGTTTGAGAGCCGTGTTCCTGGATGATGTAGCAGCCAAGCACGCGGACGAACCCCAGGAAACGTGACACCGTGATGTAATCTGAAGCGGTGCGCGTCGCCTGCCTGACGCGTCTCTAGCTTTCTCCACACGTACACCCGCCATCCGTCGCGACCCCACGAATCACCCAATGGCGCCAAAAAGTACCCAATCGTCGTCGCAGCCCAAGTCGTCGCAAAAGGGCACACAGCAGACCATCTCCAGTTTCTTCGCGAAGAAACCGTCGCAAACGCCTAAACCCGCAGCCAAACCTGCTCCCAAGGCGCCTTCTCCCCCCGTAGCCAATGACGCACACCAAGAGGAAGACGACGACGAGGAAGACCTTCCAGTCTCGCAATCAATTCCTGTGCGCAAGCGCGCCATAGACGAAGATGACGGAGCTCACGACTCCGGTCGCTCCTCCCCCTCAAAGCGCGTTAGATTCGAAAAAGGCGACTCGCCCCGACAGACGTCTGCACCAAAGCCCGCGAGAACCGGCGACAGGACGTCCAAGTTTCTGTTCTCTTCGTCACCTGCTCCACGGGAAGAGCACCTCGAAGAAGATGAGGATGTCGCAGCTTCACAGAAGCAGAAGGAGAGGCTACACGAGAAGTTTGTCAAGAAGCTCGGTCGACCAGACAGCTTTGCTGAGCTGAGGAGGCGCAATAAGATCATATCTGAGGACAACCCCAATGCCAATGGCGAGGAAGGCGAGGGCGACGAGGAGGAAGAGGATGAGCCACCCCAGAAGCCCGCCAAGGGAAAGAAGGGCACTGCGACGAAGAAGGCAAACAAGCTGACGCCGATGGAAATACAATACCTGGACATAAAGCGAAAGCATCTGGATACCGTCATCGTTATGGAGGTTGGGTACAAGTACAAGTTCTTTGGCGAGGATGCAAGAACGGCATCGAAAGAGCTGGGCATCGTCTGCATACCGGGTAGGAACTCCAGGCTGAGCTTAACGTGATGGGTAGCTAACTTGGGATACCAATATTTAGGAAAATTCAGATACGACGAGCACCCTTCCGAAGCCCACCTCGACCGATTCGCGTCCGCCAGCTTCCCCACGCATCGACTGCAAGTCCACGTCAAACGTCTCGTACAAGCAAACCACAAAGTCGGAGTCGTTAGGCAGCTGGAGACAGCCGCGCTCAAAGCAGCCGGTACCAACAGAAATGCTCCCTTTGTGCGGAAGCTTACCAATCTTTACACCAAAGGCACATACGTGGACGATGTTGAGGGCTTGGAAGCGCCTACCGAGGGCTCAGGCGCAAGCGTACAGTCGACCGGATATCTGCTTTGCATCACCGAGAGCAATGCAAAAGGCTGGGGTACAGACGAGAAAGTGCAAGTTGGGCTGGTAGCCGTCCAGCCTGCGACTGGCGACATCATCTACGATGACTTCGAAGATGGTTTCATGCGTAGCGAGATCGAGACACGACTGCTTCACATCGCGCCGGCAGAGTTTCTCGTAGTCGGCGACCTCTCCAAGGCTACAGACAAGCTGATACAACATCTGTCAGCTAGTAAGACCAACGTCTTCGGGGACAGATCGCGCGTGGAGAGGGTAGAAAAGCCGAAGACGATGGCTGCACAAGCCTACAGCCACATCTCGAATTTCTACGCGGGCAAGATGAAATCCAGCCAAGAAGCAGACTCGGAAAAGCGAGGTGCCATTTTGGACAAGGTACATCAATTGTCGGAGCATGTAACCATCTGCCTCTCAGCGATGATCACATACCTCAGCGAGTACGGCCTGGAACACGTCTTCGATCTCACAAAGTACTTCCAGCCTTTCAGTGCCAGGTCTTACATGCTGCTGAACGGAAACACACTCTCTAGTTTGGAAATCTACCAGAATCAAACGGACTACACTTCGAAGGGCAGCTTGTTCTGGACCATGAACAGAACAAAGACCCGTTTTGGGCAGCGGTTGTTGAGAAAGTGGGTTGGCCGACCGCTGATAGACAAGGAAAGACTAGAAGAGCGCATAGCAGCGGTAGAAGAGCTCAAGGAGGGCGAGAACACCATCCCGGTCGACAAGCTGAAGTTCGTGCTCGGAAAGATTAGGACCGATCTCGAAAAGGTGCTCATCCGCATCTACTACAAGAAGTGTACAAGGCCAGAACTGTTGGCGGCTTTGCAAAGTCTGCAGGAGATTTCGAGCCAATACTTGTCGGCGAAGACACCCGAAAAGAGTGGCTTCTCCTCGTCGTTACTGAGTGAAGCTGTTTCGAATGTTCCGAAGATATACGATGACTTGAACAGCTTTCTGGAGAGGATCAACGCCAAAGCCGCAAAAGATGACGACAAGTACTCGTTCTTCCGTGAAGAACATGAGGCCGAAGATATCAACGATCTGAAATTGAGCATTGCCTCTGTTGAAGACGACCTCAACACGCACCGAAAAGATGCAGCTGCCAAGCTGGGGAAGAGCAAGGTAGAATTCGTCACTGTAGCTGGCATTGAGTACTTGATTGAGGTCAAGAGGAAGGCACCCGAAGAGAAGAAAGTACCTGCCTCGTGGCAGCAGATCTCAGCTACCAAGACTACACTGCGTTTCCACACGCCAGAAGTTAAGCGCATGCTACAAGAGCGAGATCAGTACAAGGAGTCGCTGGCGGCGGCATGCGACAAAGCTTACATGGGCTTGCTGGAGGAGATCTCGTCCAAGTATCAACAACTGCGGGACTGTGTAGCTTCTCTAGCCACACTCGACGCCCTCCTCTCCCTGGCTACCTTGGCAAACCAGCCAGGTTACGTCAAGCCGACCTTCACAGACGACATCGAGCTCAACATCACTGGTGGTCGGCATCCCATGGTCGAGCAACTGCTCCTCGAAAACTACGTCCCCAACGACCTCTCCATCTCACACGACTCCACCCGTGCTCTCCTCATTACAGGCCCCAATATGGGCGGAAAATCCTCCTATGTACGATCTGCAGCTCTCATCGCAATCATGGGCCAAATCGGCTCCTACGTCCCCGCAACCGAAGCGCGACTAGGCATGCTAGACGCAGTTTTCACCCGCATGGGCGCTTTTGACAACATGCTCAAAGGCGAGTCAACCTTCATGGTCGAGCTCAACGAAACCTCCGACATTCTCAAATCCGCAACGCCGCGCTCCCTCATCATCCTCGATGAGCTCGGTCGCGGCACGTCAACTTTTGACGGTGTCGCCATCGCAGAAGCAGTGCTCGACTATGTAATCCGCGACTTACAGTCACTCACTCTGTTCATCACACATTACCAGCATCTGGCCAAACTGTCAGGCCGCTTCCCCAACGGTGAGCTGAAGAACGTCCACATGCGCTTTGAAGAGCAGAATGGCGGGAAGGAAGTTGTGTTCTTGTATGAAGCTACGGAGGGTATTAGCCATCGGTCTTACGGGCTGAACGTTGCGCGGTTGGCGAGGGTACCGGAGAAGGTCATTGATGTGGCGGAGATAAAGAGTGCGGAGCTTGAGGAGAGCATGGGGGCTTGTAAACTGGGGAACTTGTAAGTCGTACCCAAGGCGCACGATGCTGATAATGAGCGCTAACATTAAGCAGGTCGCGCATGATGAAGGGTTTGTTGACTGAGGGGTCGGATGCAACTCTTGATAGGCTTGTTGAGGGTATTGAGCAGCTGTAAGATATGGATGTGTTGTATTGTATGGAGATGCGACTGGCCATCGTTCATGGGAAAATGTGGAAGCATCAGGCGTTTGATGACGGTGCATACGGGTAGTAGATCTGCGTGTATCAACAACGCATCGCTGCGTCGCCAGTTGGGGTCTGCCGAAATGTTTAAATCGCACAAACGAATCACATCACCGTCGACAAGATCATGTCACTTTCTTGCTTGTGGTGTATTGTCATTGTTTCATTTCATGACTATCATAACCATATCATTGTGATCGTAGTCAATGGCCAGCGGATCTCCTGTCCTCCCGGCTCATGGTATACCCACCATCACGCCTTGTCCCAGCTCAGCAGCTTAACCGAGACGAGTCTCCTTGTCCTTGATGGGCATATCGGAGCCAGTGGTAGACTTGTACTGGCCACGGATGAAGTCGCTGATCTGTTCGTCCTTGGCTTGCTCGACGGCGGACTCGTTGTCCTGAGCACCCTGGCCCATGAACTTCTCTTGGACGAAGTCGACACCTAGTATAAACAGTTAGCACGTGTCAAACAGTTGTAGCACGGCATGGTAGACGTGGGTAGGGTGGAGGACAACATACCCTTGTCGAGGTAGTCCTCGTTCTTCTCGCTCTCCTTGCCGCCGCCAGCAGCGGAGTTGAGCTTGTCACCGATGCCACCGAGGAAGCCACCGGAGCCGGAGGACTTCTGCTCAGAGCCTTGGCCTTGGACGACCTGCTCGTTGACGGACTGGCCTTGGTTGTTACCACCGCCAGCGAGCTTGTTGACGAAATCCATGATGTTTGTTTGTTTGTTGTAATTGGAGGTAGGTCAGGTAAGTAAAGAGTCAAAGCAGTAAAGGCAAAAGTAGTCTTGTGAGGTTGTGATGAGTGATAAGCCGAGTGCACTGGAGGAGAGAGAGAGCTATTTAACCAGCTGATAGCAAGGCAGGGATGGTTGATCTTGGAAACGGGAGCACCGATGGGTCAATGGGGTCAATCAAGATCTAGTCCCTGGTGACAGAAGCCTTGGTATTGGAGCTAAATGGGTTTGATAGGTGCGTGTCGCAGCCTGGAAAGAGGCTACGGGCCATGTACCTGATGCGATGCTGGTCTTGGTCGGCACTGCCCCGCCCAAATGCGCGCCGACGTCATCAGACACCCCGCCATCGCGGAACCTGAAACTAGTCCCTTTGCGAGGCCAAGCTCCGCTATCGCGTCTTGCACGTGCGAGCAACCTTGCGACTAACCTTGCGACTGTGACCTTGGATTTTGTTTTGCTTCTTTGAGGGATTTTGTTCGGATCGACGCGTCTGTGCTGTTGTCGTCATCGCCATGATACCCATCACGATTATCACGGGCTTCTTGGGCTCGGGAAAAACAAGTACGTAGTAATTTTCAGCTGCTTTCTCAGGAACTAGTAGCACATTACCAGCACGTCGCATTGCGTGTGTATAAGCCGTCAAGAACGTGTAAATCACATCGAGAAGAGTTATAACCTTGCTAACAACCTTGCAGCTCTCATCCTAAACCTAATTCCCCAACTACCCAAAACCTACAAACTCGCTCTCCTCAAGAACGAATATGGCGACATCAAAGTCGACACAGCGCTCGCCTCCTCAGCCGCTATATCAGGTGTGCAAGAACTTCTCAATGGATGCATATGCTGCAACCTCGTCGGACAGCTCTCCGACGCCCTCGAAACGCTCGCCAACGACGTGAACCCCGACCGCATCGTGATCGAGACCTCCGGCTCTGCCTTCCCCGCAACCCTCGCCATGGAAGTAAACCGACTGAGCAGAGAAACGGGCAAATACGTTCTAGACGGCGTCATGAGTGTGATTGACGTGGAGAACTGGAAGGGCTACGAAGACACAAGCTACACGGCGAAAATGCAGGCACGCTACACCGATCTCATTGTTCTAAACAAGCACGAACTTGTTAGCGAGAGACGGTTGGAGGATGTTGAGGACGCAGTGCTGGCACTGGAGGTGGAACCGCAAATACCTAGGACAAAGAGCAGGAAGGGCTGGGTGGATAAGGATATTGTGTTTGGACTGGATGCGAGGCTGGCAGGGGTCAGTGAGGAGAACGCAAGCGCGCACGCACATGAACACGACCATGACCATTCCAGCGAAGTCGAGGTCCTCACAGTGACACTAAAAAGCCAGGATGGAAACAGTAGTGTCGACACCGCTAAACTCGCCAAACTCCTCGAAGACCCAACAAAAGACGAGGTATACCGGATAAAAGGCATTTTGTATTCTTCGACGCCACCGAAATCATCGGACGCTGATGCCGATGCGCACCAGAAAGTACAGGAGGGTCGAGCAAGATATATCTTGAATTGGTCGTTCGGTCGATGGACGTTTACAGCTGTGCCGCTACCAGTTGGTGAGAGCGCTAGTGAAGAAGAGCCGGTTCTAAGGTTGACGGTCATTACGGCGAGGTATGAGTCGACTAAGTGGAAGAAGCAGATTGAGTTGTGTGGGTTGATTGCGTTGGAGGGTGATGTGAAGGGTTCGTTGACGGTTGAGAAGATAGGGTAGACGGGGAGTGTTGCCGTTTGTGATATACCCGATTCAACGATTAGACTTGTAGAGTAGACTAAAGCAACTGAGATGCCTTTTTTCGTGTCCAGTATTCTAGTGTCCTTCTTAATGGACGCATGCGCAATTGGAGGCTAGCATGTGGGGCGCTAATGTCAAACTTCCCCAGCTCCTTCCTCCCGTCACCTATTCACCAAAGACATCATACCCACGGCATGCATCACGACACCTTTGCCCGAGACATAACTGCTACGCATAATCTTCCGTCTCCATCTGATTTACTGTATTGCATTTGTCTGCTCTAGTAGGCTACTTTATCGGTCTGCCTGACCTCCAAACCTCAGACGTAGGCTTCTTCCGCGCTTTCAGTGACGGCGCTGAACGTCTCTACCCCGTTTTCATCAACATGCTGCATGATAGACGGTTAGTTGTCTACTTGCTAGCATCATGTCTCCTTTTCAAGAAGCCCTTCTTCTTCTTCTCTTTCTTTTGAGATCCTTGTGGTGACTTCGAAAGCGTCTTATTCAGCTCTTCCGCTGCTGCCAGATCATCGACGAACCCTTTCTGATGACGAATGAGGCCGACAAACTCGTCACGCCGAGCCTGGTCCCAGTGCTTGTAACCATGCGCCAAGGTAGCTGCGACAATGAGATGTTTCAGCAACCCCTCTTCGTCCTTACATATCTTGTCGTCCCCATATGTCCACTCTACAAAGTCCTTCATGGCGGTCGGCGTAAAGTGACCTCTGAAGAGAAGTTGCTCTATCATCTTGGCGTACGCGGCGTTGATCAAAGCCGGGTATTTCAGGAATTCAGCGAACTTGATCATTTCCAGGCTGAATTCCACTGACTTCATATCGCGGGTGAAATCGTTGTAGATTCTGTCAGGTTTATTCTCTGCATGCGCGATGTTCGACACTTCCGTCTCTACATTTCGTTGATACGTCCCGAGGTAGAGGAAATTGACGAATCGGTCCACGATGATTGGAGAGAATGCGGGAAAAGGTATCTCGCACGGACGCTCTGGAGTCTAAGTCTTTGCTGTAAACATACCGCCACGCTACAGTAACTTGGACTTGGGTATACGTACGCCTTGGAAAAGACACTGCAGCATCCAATCCGCACTTGGGCCACCGAGTATCCAGGCTGAATGCACCGGGAACAGAATTCCATTTGAGTCAAGGAGAAGATCGCAACCCAACTTGGAGTGAAGGACCTTGCTCGCATGCCTGTTTGGTCAGTGGGAGTACTCAGGAGGTTGAATCGACATACCCGACGCGTTCAGTTTCCACCGTCGGTATCTTCAGATGGTCGTTCTTGGAGGCAACCCGCAGAAGATTCTCGAGCGACATCCATTTCGAAGCAGCGGACTTTGAAGTCGTTTCAAATAACATGGCGCCTAGCTAGACTCGTTCAAACCCAGAGATAGCAGCTCTATGGGTGCAAGAAGGTGAGGGAAAGGAAGTGAGCAAACAAACATGGTCGGAAAACTACCAGCGCGGGGCTAAGCGATTGCCCGATAGGGAGTGCAAGCAATGTCCTTTCACTGAGTTCTGTTCTAGCCAAAACGCGTGCAAAAAGGAAGAGTTCGCCCGAATTCGAACCTACGACAGCCAAAAAAAGAAAACCCACGATCGCAGAGTAGCGAACCCAACACAGCCATCCTTGCCATGCAACATTGTCCGAGCCAGGCCACTACTGATGAGATACTTCGAAGTACATAGTAATATATATTTGAGTCGAAATCGTATCAATAGTCTTAACTAACCGTCCTCTGGATCACATTCAGAGATAAACCACCCATTTGTATTTCGCAAGTTGTCATACGCGACACCCTAACTTCTCCAGTCTACGAACTCTAGGATCACAGCCAGCTTTTGATCGGTCTATCAGATTGATCTCGAGAGCTAGAAACAATCACAGAATGACCAACTTCACTCTGACTACCGAATTGGGTCTAGTCTCTGTTCGCTTAGCTGTTCTTGACCAAACCCTGCGATTGATCGGGCGGGGCCATCACTATCTGCACGACAAGACGACCGTAACCATGAGCCACAACAATAAAAATCTCATCATGGCCACGCCGGTTCAGACAAAGCCCACCCAGAACGCCAATGAAAGCAAGGTCAAGAAGACGTCCAAGAAGCGCCAGCTCGACGAAGAAGACGCGGACTACACCATCGAGACTCCCGGCGCTCGCGGTATTACCGCTTCAAAGCGGGGCTCTTGTCACACTGCCGTGGCCAAGCTCAAGATGTCGGGCAAAATGGCAAAGAACGACATGATGCGCAAAGACACAGTTCAGGGAAGGTACGTGACCCCACATCCACGCACAAGTAGGCCGGCTCTGATCAGATTAGTATGCTGAGTCTTATGTTCCATGGCTTGCTGTGCGATCTCGTCATTGCTGGTCCCAATGATAGCGCTTGGAAAGTGCCTAGGGGTATCGCCATGCTCTATTCCCAGAAGATGTCGAAAGACTTGGTAAGCACACACACTCCAGCTATATGCTTCAATATAGTGGTCTGGTACTAACGTTTCTTGGAGAGCTCGCCAATGACGCAGACGATCAAGATGCCCAACCATCCGGCTCATGCAATCGACTGCTGTGTCGCGCACATCAAGCACGTTGGCGACTACCGCGTCGTTAAGATGCTAGATCAACATCAGCTATATCATGCGACTACACCCCCCTCCACCAAGCCCCCCATCCCAAAAGGCATCACGGCTTCTCATATCCATGTCGATGTCCTCATCTTGGCTATCGAATGGCAGATGGAGAACCTCAGGCACTATGCACACATCGAACTGGCCAACAGTCTGGGCAAGCCATCGTCCCCTACCTTTGACGAGTTCGAGAAGTTGGTACTGGAGACGGGCATATTCACTGCCAAGTATTGCAGGGCCCCTATCTGTGACGATACTGCCGTCAACGACGCCCTTACTGCTCTTGGTACCTACGCCGCCCTTCACAACGAGACGTGGTTCAAGACCCGTCGCATCGCGTACAGTGAACTTCTTCCCAAGGCGCCGTACCTCTCCAAGTACCGCGACTTGGCTTTGGCTGATCTCCCGGAATTCATCCAAGCTCATCACCTCGCTGGTAAGAAAGCTAGGCTTACTGACTCTGGACGCGGATTTGAAGACGTCAAGATGCGCTCGTCGATGCTTATGGACACAGACGGGTAGGTCTACGGACTATGGTCTTAGTTCTCGAGGGCGTTGGTACCAGCTCGTAGATGTTTGCCGTATACGAGGTATTTGGCATGATAGTATTGAAGGGTACAAAAGACGATGTATTCCCATACCCTATCGACAAGTCGATCTTTGATAGCCTGTTTCCCGTAGAGAACCTCCTGGTATAAGCATGCAGAGTACATCTGGGTATTGATAAGTGTATGTAGCCGCGAAGTGCAGGATGAAAAAGCCCATGTGAACCATACCTAATGAACCATTTTGAAAGTCATCTCATCTCACCGCCATATTCCATATCACGTCGGACTGCTCATGCGATCAGATAAACGAGATAAGGTAAGATATATTGCATTATATATACAGTCATTACATGCCCAGTCATCGGACTTTTTCAAGCTCCCACGATTAATAGCTGAGCTTCCAAACTCCTCTTCCAGTCATTAACTACATAAATATCCATCTCCTAGTAAATCATGATGTCGATTTACAACATACCAAGAGCGAGTCCAAGAGCACCAATACCCATGGCGGCGCCGGCAGTCTTCATAGCAGCAGGGTTACTAGTCTCGGCAGGGACAGTGTTGGTGTCGGTGTCTGTCTCGGTGGTGGTGGCAACGAGACCGTCGCTACCGGTGGTGACAATGACGGCTACGGAAGTGGTCTGGATGACGGAGGTGACAGAAACAGTGTTGGTGTCAGTGACGGTGTTGGTGTCGACGGCCGTTGTTTGGACGGCGCCAGCGCCTCCTCCAACTACGGTGGTGGTCTGGTATGCGCAGTCGGTGAGGAGACGGTACTGGTCGCTGCCGTCGTCGTTGTCGTTGCCGTTGTACTGCCTGACGCAGGCCTCGCACTGTGGGATCAACTGGTTTGCGTTGTTGGCTGTGCAGATGCACTGGAGGACGGCGGATGAGTCGTCATCTATAGCTTTGTTAGATTCTTGTTGTTCGCTACTAGGCGCGGTACTTACTGCTGTCGTTCTTGCAACCGTTGGTGATGGAACCGACTTGTGCGCAGACATCAGTGCACTCCGCGGGGATGTTGTCGAAGTCGAAGTCAGTGTCCTGAGCAGCAGCGAAAGCCGCAAGGGCGGAGATGATGGTGAGCTTTGAGAAGAGCATATTGATTGATTGATTGATTGATCGAGATTCGACTTGTTGAGAGTGAGTGTAGTGGTTTTGAATCAAGTGGAACTGATGAGAAGGCTGATTGTTGTGATGATGCGCTTTCAACATGTCGAGCATGGCGACTCTTATACCAAATGTGCTCCTCCTTCCATCGCCCATCGGACGGTCTCCGCCCTGGCTTCTGCAGAGGAATCAGGTACCATGGTATTACCAGAGCCGTCGTACCCGAGTTCGCTCATGCACTTGATGAGATGGCATGCACCGTCGACCTCTGGCATTGGCTTTGCTGTTTGCTAGACGTTGTGATAGCGCCCCGATGGAAAGGGCCGAATGCGAAGTGACATCACACTTATCATTTGCATGTCGTTCTGGTCGAACCTGGAGGCCAGGCACAGTGTGTCTGGATGCCGCCAAGCGATCGAAGCATATGAAGGTTTCGCGGAGCCACGCGATGGACATGGAGACAGCGCAGGCCGACGTCATTGGTGCTTGGCACGGCGAGAGTGGATCCACCCGAGCAACCGAGCGATCACGGCCGATCATCCGGAAAGCTTGTCGTTTGCTCCAGAACGCGCCGACTTTGCGGAGGAAAAACTGGAGAACGTAGGCTTAGGCCGCATGAAACGTTGTTAGTCCGGCTGTACGGCAAACATCGTCAGGCGGCGGCGAACTTCTTTCTGGTAGCTGTTACCCCTGTATGACGCAAACATGCAAATACTTATGCTTTTGAAGTCAGTATGTCATGGCTTGTACCAAGCTTCAAATCACGTAGTGTGTCTAAGCCTCGCTGTCAAATGGCTTGTTCAGGAACGCAGAGCCTCCCAACATTGAATCTGGTATCTCATTGACGTCGGAGCATCTATTCGTAGCTTAGCATTAGAATTAGAATTTGTTGATAGTGCTTCAACGGAAAGACCGGAGTGGCCATCGAATTGTTTGGCTGTCAATGCATGGAGCATCCTGAAGTAGGATCTGTCTGGTATCATCTTGGTAAAGCTACGCAGGCCAAGAATGGCTGAACCCACTCGTGATAGGCTGTCGACTAGCATCTTGCCGAGAAAGCGTCTTGTACAACAAGCGTGATACATGGTCCATTGGTTGAAGCTTGAGAGCAACGGATCGTGTCGGCTCAAACGAAAGACTGAGCAGTCTATCAGAGAATACGATACCTACGTTTTGTTCATGAGTTTCATCAACAACAGAAAGTGTAGCATCGGCAACATTGCCTGTACTATACTGCTGTTGACTGCCATAACTGGCTAACATGACGTTGTTTCCTCGGAGGCGAAGTTCCCATTGCGCATAGCTTTACAGCGTCGTCTTGGCAACCCGCGCTACCACAGTTTCTACGCCGTCATTAGCTGCATACGCTAGGGGCGTGGCAGGAACATACCGTTATTCTAACTGGCATGACCGGCGACATGGCAAACCAGTAGGGCGGCTCTATAATAGTCACTGCGGGTAGAACATAGCGCGAGGTTGGACAATGCCGTCAGAGCCGTGTGTAGGTTCGCTGTTGCCGTTGCCGCCTCCAATAGCGTAAAGATGGGAAGTCGAGGCTCTGAGCCCGTTGCTGTGCTGATCTCAGCAGCCTTCGCCACGTACGAGATAGTCGAATGCTGCTAAACGACGAACAGTGGGCGCTGTCTAGAAGCTTACATTCGTCCATTTGGAATGTGTTCCAGTAACCCAGAAGAGTGCGCATGCGATACGATGTCGAGGTAACTTGGATTGACAGCAAGCCGCTTCTCAAGGTACCGGTCGGGTTTGCAGGCTAGGTAATTTCGTAGAAATGACGAGGAAAGGATGTGTCGGCGACTACGTCCACTGAACATAATTGCGGAAGCTGATCAAAGCCGGGCACATGGATGCCTTCGATACAGTTTCTGCGGAGGCGTTAATGTGTTCTTGTGGGCTCGCGCTCAAATTTGAAGTCGTTTCGTGAGGGACTTTAGGTGTGTACGTTGGTGGGTTGGTAAGTCGATAACGGTGGTTTGCCAGGGTTCGTCGAGGCGTCAATGTGTGTCCATTCACCACGGAAAATACTATACCCTTTGCACATGGGTACCTGTAATCCCATCTCTACCTATGCGCATGAGCGTGATTCCGATCAAATAGCTGCACATATGCGTTGCTTACACATTATGCTCGACTGCTCGGTCTCCGTTGGATCTCTCCTCCAAAAGGGAGCAGGTTCACCTGCGCATCGATAGGAACTGGATCTTCGGACATTTCGTAGCATGATACAGCGCAGGTAGGCGCTCATGGCTCGTGATGGAAGTCGTTCACTTCGCGGGAAGTTGCTGAGACGTGGCTATCGTGGTGGGTGGTTGTGGATGTTGCTTGAGGTTCAAGTGAGTGCAACAGCGTCCAGGTGGTCTGATCTCGAACGGAAATAGCAGATCAGCACTGTGGTTATCCCCGGCCGCTCCTTCTTACTTAATCCGTAGGGGCAACCACATCTGCTCACTCGTCACAGGTCCACGCAAGTCTCTCAGCTGATAATCTTTCGATTACAGTGGCAGTAAAATGATGAAAGAATGTGTTGTATCTACCACCAGTACTCCCACACAACCCCAAATGCTCCAGACCAATCGTCACACATTTGTGTATCATACCCGGGTATCATTGCCACTCAAAGACTGCACACACTACTACTAGGGCACGTTCCAAACAGACACGATGAGAGACATGCCTGCCTTTTTTCTAATTCATAACAACATGACCCTCAAAAGGACAGATGTGATGTAAAACCTTACAACAGCACGTACCCTCTACCTAGCTTGCACGGCCGGAAAGTAGCGGGGTCCGGAGTACCCGTAGAACTGGACGCTCTCAATGTCGATGTTGCCATCGTGTTTCGGGCTCCAGAACTTGAGTAGGACGTGTCTTCCCGAACTGGAGAATGCGTTAGTAAACCGATGGCTCCCTAGGGTGACCTGACCAAACTTACATTGCAGGGTGAAACTTGATCGTGATCTTATTCTTGTTCTTCGCAATGAAGAAGCGCGCATGTGGGGGTATGAGTGGCTCGTCGTGGGTTCGTTCGGAAGGTTCGATGCGGCTGGGCGCAGCTACACGAGACGCTCGGATGGGCTCGAGATAGCGCTCTCTCCGCTCCCGCCATTCGCTGTATGTGCTGTAGTCGAGAGCCGGCGCGCGACGCAGCGGACCCAGGCGGGGAATGACTTCATCGTCATCGTCGTCGCTGTCTGGACGCCAACGGCTTTCTCTTCGAAGGCGGTCGGCCATGATGGCAGCACTGGGAACTTCTTCGTTGGAGTCCGAATCTTCATCCTCGCTGGCAGCAGTAGTAACTGTAAAAGGCGGTGGGGTAGGTGCAGAAATGCCAGCGGGACCGCTGTAAGAGTCATCCGCTGCGTGATCACAATTGTCCCCCTCTGCTTCGTCTTCGTGTTCTACCATCTGGCGCATTATCCGCCGACGTTCAGAGTCGGAGCGCAAAGACGATATCCAGTTCGCAGATTCGGCATTCAGCCTCTCACTGCGGAGACGAAGATTCTCGATGCGCTCCTCCATGTCCTCGCGGGGGCCCTGATTTGAGTATTGCCACACCGAAGGATCTTCAAGAGCTTCTCGCAAAGACATATGTTCGTTGGCCTCGTTTGGGGAACTGGGTGTCGGAGACATCAATGGCGATGGAGTGTCGTAGCGGAGATTGTAGGCTGAGGTGCCGGACAGGAGTTCATCTGCAGACATGGATACAAACACAAGACCTTCTTGAACGCTGGTGTCAGGTTAGCAATGATCAAAGACGAAGCGGAGACACATACGGAGCCGTAAATCCACGGTCCGGTGCTCGAATGACGATCTTCTCCAAGGCGAAGGGGGCTTCTCCGATGTGTTTCAAGAGAAGATTGCACTGGGAGCTCTCGCTGCAGTATACACTTTTGTCGTTCCTCAAGACATTCTGAACCCTGTATAGCCCAGGTGGATTGTCTCTGCGGTGCTCACCGCCGTCACAGCTTATGATCTCCATGCGCAGACGCCCAGGCACTACCTGACCCCTGTGGCCGTACTTGAAGCACATGTACTCCGTAGCAGCGCTACTGTCATGTTCCAACTTCCTCCGCTTGTGCCTGCGCTCGCTGTTGAGTTGCACGATGGGGCTACGAGAGCGGGGCTGTGTATTCGAGATGGTAAAGGGATTGCTTGTCGGTAGGTCACTCAGTGAGTCAAGAACATCGTTGGTGGCGTCCATGTCGGCCAGGCGCTGTTCCCTCGTGCGGGCCTGAGAGCGGCGGAGGTAGCTTTCGCTCGGTACGGCGCGCGGTCGGTTGGGGTTTGCAGTGGGAGGCCGGCGGGCAAGATTATCCGCTGCGTCGCTATCACGTGGGGGACCAAATAGGCGGTGCAGCGGGCCTCTTCTGGTTGACGTGCGAGTGCGCACGCGGCGGGCAGGGTCTCTGGGGGATGACGTCGCATCGTAAGCGGCGGGCGTGGGCTCAGCTAGGGAGCGCAGCGCATTTCTGGACGCGCTGGTAGAGGCAGAGCGAGAGACGGTCGGCGGCGAGGTCGAGGCATGGGGAAAGTCAAAGCTGCCCGTCGTGAAGGCCAGTGGGAAGGGCGCAGGCGGTGGGGACGGAGAGGAGGGTGGTCTGGGCATTGGTGACGTCGGCGCTCGCTCCCATTGAGGAGACGAGGTATGGCGAGTAGTTAGGCTCACACGCAGAGGAGAGACTAGTAGTTTACGGTGGGAGGGTAGGAGACGGCACTTGTCGAGGCTGAGGCGACGAACAAGCAACGCATCTTCTAGTCGGTCCCGTGTGGTTGGCACGCGGGGTGCGCACGGGCCACCGCAGAGCCGCACAGGCAGGCTACGAGGGTGCGAGGTAATGCCGTCACCGCTAGCTGCCTTTACTCGGCCATCTGCAAGACGCCCGTCCAGCTTGAATTAGCCCATACGCAGCCAGTGTCTTGTTGGATCCACCAACAACTTGACTGCCCTGAGTGATTGCGCAGTCAACACCCCGCATACGCGTCTCTTTACGTCTATATACATACCCGCGCGACGACAAACACCATGGCTGATCTCACCGAGCCGTCCCCGGTACCTCCGCCGGTGACCAATGGCGCGTTGCCTGCTGCATTGCCTGCCGAGGACGCAGCTGGCGAGACAGTCGCCGCCATCGCTGAGGCCGACAAGATATCCGCAGGTAAGCGCGACGCAACGGCAGTCGCAGCAGTGCTAACTTCTGCGCTCAGATGAAATCGCTCTCTACGACCGCCAGATCCGCCTATGGGGCGTCGCGGCGCAAGAGAAGATCCGCACCGCCAACATCCTGCTCGTCTCCATCAAAGCCCTCGCCAACGAGGTCGCCAAGAACCTTGTCCTCGCCGGCATAGGCTCCATCACCCTCGCAGACCACGAAGTCGTGACCGAAGATGATCTGGGCGCGCAATTTTTGATCAGCGACGCCGATGTAGGCAAGAACCGCGCAGAGGCAGCATTGCCCCAGGTGCAAAAGCTCAACCCGCGCGTCACCGTCAAGACCCTCACCACCGACATCCGCAACGAGCAAGATCCCAACTTCTACGCCGCCTACGATATCATCATATGCACCGACATGGACTTCCTCTCCACCTCCGCCCTCAACGCCGGTGCGCGCATAGCACGGAAACCCTTCTACGCGGGCGCATCACATGGCATGTACGGCTACATCTTCGCCGACCTGGTCGAGCACAACTTCGTTATCGAGCGCGAGAAGAGCAATCGCGACACGCAGGTCGGCGCTGAGAGCACAACGAGGAGCATCAAGAGCGTACAGGTCAAGAAGGAGAACGGCAAGGTGGTTGAGCTGGTCAACAAGCAGGAGCTCTACAGTCCGTTGATGCTGGTCAAGGACAGCCCACTCCCTGCGGATATTGCAAACAACGCGAGGAGGCTGAAGAGGGTCCATCCCTTACTCACTTGTGTACGCGCACTGTGGGAGTACCAGCGCATGGGTCATGGCATCTACCCTTCGCATACACCGACAGATCTTCAGGTCTTCACCACCATTGCGAACGTCAAGCACAAGGAGCTGCTTCTTCCTGCCGAGTCTCTCAAAGCCGAAGTCCTCCGCAGCTTCCTTCAAAACCTGGGTAGCGAACTGGCACCCGTCACGGCTTTCCTGGGTGGTCAGCTGGCTCAAGATGTCATCAACGTGCTGGGACAACGTGAACAGCCCATCCAGAACCTTATGCTGTTCGACGGCGAGGACAGTTCAGGACCAGTCTATGCGCTGCATCCTATCTTCCCTGGGACACCGTTACCCATTATGTCGAGCATGCCTGTCAACGCGCCGATTACGATAGTCTGAACTTTGGAAATGGAGATATGAAGCATGGTTTGCCAGACATTGCATTGTGCGGTTGGATAACGGGGCTACGAGATATGGAAGAAAAGTAGTGTGGAAGCATGTGGCGGGCATAGTACTTGATTGAAAGATACCCAAATGAAATCGCTGAGTTGCCAGCGAAAAGCAATACGATCTAATACTCTCAACACCCATCAACGTCCCCCGTTGCTATTGACCCGTCTACTGTTTCTTCTTCTCATCCTCAACATCCCCCTTCCCAATGTTCCTAAACAACATCCAGCATAGCCCCACAAACGCGAATAAAACCACACCAACCGTCCCTCCCTCAACCCACCCAGCCATCCTCGTATCAAGCACTGGCACGTCGATCCACTCCACCAACCCACCCGATCCAGTCTGATTCCAAGCCTTAGGCTCCACATGCATGAACCTAGTCTTGGGTCCAAACAAGCCCTCATACCCCAAATGCAAGCGATCAAACGGATTGGTAGTATGCTGTGCGCCCGAATCGGCACGACAAGCCCAAAACACAACAGGCCAAGGGACGGGTAATCTAGCATGAGACGCCGCCTGAGCAGGCATATACCGTAGATGCAACGGTATGCTAACATTCCAGTCCCCCTCCGGCACCTCACGATGCGTCGGCAAGTCCTCCCACACGCTCTCCTCCCCATCACCCAGACTGACCTTGGGATATTCAATCTTCTCTGGCTTGGGCGTGGCGAGTTCAAAGAGCGCTGCGGAGCCCCAAGCCGGCACAACCCAGTCTGGGGCTTCGAGATCGGTAGCGCCGGCTAGACTGCGGAGGCGCTTTAGGTTCTTGTCTGCGAGGAACAAGGCGTCGGAGAATTGGTACTTGTCGATGAAGAGGTAGGAGGGGAGGGTTAGGTGGGTGTGTAGTTTACAGGAACGGTCTGGTGGGGTGAGGTGGTGTGCTGGGAAGGTTAGGGTGAGGGTTGGGTGGAGGCCGGTTGGTTGGTTGAAGGAGGTGCTGTAGGTTAGGGGATGGAGTTTGGGTTGTGCCGTTGGGTTCTTGGAAGCTTGGAGGAGAGGGTAGTGCCGGGTTGGGGTTTGGAAGCGCGTGGGTTCTGTGTGTCGTTAGTTTCTTGCTGTCATGATGATGTGAAGATAGTGTAGTAGGTGTAATATACATACTCGGCTTATCGTCTTGCCCTAGCACTGTCAAGAAACCTCCAAACTGCACATCTTCGGGATCGGCATTTCCCTCCAAACTCAATACCCCAATCTCTACAGTCGCTTCTTTACTTGGCAGCCTGATTGTCTCAGTCCAGCCTTCGTTGGCGGATCCTGCATTGGACGATTCGGCTGTCAGAACAACGCTTCTCGAGATAGTATCGTAGTCCACATCGACATAATTTGACAGAGCAAAGCCATCAATCGCATCCAAACAATAGCTTGTTCCATCTTTTTTGCAAAACTTCCGCTGGAAGAAACTCCTAACTCTGTCGATATCATCCAAGTAGCTGTAGTACTGCGAGGTGGCCGACATTGAGAAGCGTTCTGAGAGGACTGGCATCTTTGTGGAGCTGGATGATGTCGACGAACACTTCAGATCCGGGGAGATGAGGGAGTGGAGGCTTGAGCATAGTGCATCATCAGGCGTATCTGATAGAGGCGTGAAGAAGACATGCAGACCAGGTGAGACACGTGACGTGAATGGCGGAGTAGATGCGTAAGGCCTTGTAGATGTCCAACGTAAATGTAATTCGTGCCATTGTTGAAAGACGTTACTTATCTACGTGTCGTCAGGATGGTTTCGTTCATTTGAAGGACATGGGAGTGGGTGCTGTACATACCTCTTCAGGTAGCTCATTCAGGCTGAGTGTGATACGGTGTTCCTTTGCAGCATAGACATTGTCCAAAGCAAAGTATGGACCAGATTCGTCTTCGCCAACATGAAGTTGATCGGGAGTAAAGTCCTCTGGGTTCGTCACCACATAAGTTATTCGCTGTTTCATGATTGTTGTGATGGAGGCTTCGTTCGAGGTGTGTCCACGCGTGATGCTCGCGATGGCATGTGAGTAAAGCGAGCTAGTGTGGAAACGGCCCTAGCGTCTGTACATCCCTGTACAGGCCTCGGCGGTGCGTCATCGGCATTCACTGGCGCCGCCAGCTTCTAGAATCACAGCCCCAAAGCACAAGGCATCTCCACCGTGTCCTTTCACATGCTTTTGCCACACAGGTGGTACATGAGTTGTCTTAACCATCCCTATCGAGCACTCTTCTGATCCACGACCTTGCGACAATATGCATCTCCTCAGCTTCCTCTACCCTGCGCTGCTGGCAGCGAGTGGCGCAGAAGCCCTCCGCTCAGACAAAGTCAAGCTGGCTAAGATTGAAAGTCTCACGCTGCGCAAAGGACAGCAGACTTCCGCGCGACGCGTTGACCCTATCCCCCAGGTACGCATTCATCCTACGCGTCTCCGCCTACCCCTCCGTACAGCCTACTAACACATGATAGCTGAAATGCATCGGCGGTTCCGCCCGCGGCCTCTACGAGCCTGAGATAATGCGATGCAAGAACAGCGGCTCTGACTACGACGAAGACTCCATACAATGGACCTGCACCGCCTCGCTCCCCGAAGAATTCAAACTCGGCTCCACAGACGTCATCTGCGAAGGCTACGATTACCCCGAAGACCCATACATCTTGAAAGGAAGCTGCGGAGTAGAGTACCGTCTCGTCCTCACCGAGAAAGGCCAAGAGAAGTACGGCAAGGGAAGAGGAAGATGGCAGGGCGACGACGACGATGACGACCGACGTGACGGACCGAAAACCATGGGCGAGAGGATTGCAGGCGGACTATTCTGGATGCTCTTCGGTGGTGTCGTGTTGTGGATGATATACTCTGCGCTGAGGAACCGCGCACAAGGTCCGGATGGCGGCGCAGCAGGAGGCAACAGACCTGGCTGGGGAGGTGGCGGCGGCGGTGGATGGGGTGGAGGCTATAACGACGACAACGACGACCCGCCTCCACCATACTACCCGAACAATCCCAGCAACCCCAAGTCAGGCTACGGCGCGACACAACCGGCACAAGGCTGGAGGCCTGGCTTCTGGTCGGGTGCGGCAGGTGGCGCTGCTGCTGGATGGGCTGCGGGCCAGTTTGGCAACAGAGGGAACCGGAACAACCAGACGGGCGGCTGGGGCGCTGGAAACGGTAGTGGCAGTCGCTGGAACAATGGCGGAGAGGGTAGCTCAAGGAGTTCGTCTGGTGATAGTTTCTCCAGCACCAGGCATGAGAGCACTGGGTTCGGGGGAACTTCGCGCAGATGATGTGTTGCTTGTAAATTTCTCTATTGGCCTAAGAATGATACCCCCTTTACGCGGTATGGACATGAATCTATATGACTTGGATGTTTCTGGACATGAGTGTACAGGTATGAATAAGATACGCAGTATGAACAATGGACAAACCCAAGATCTGATGTGTGCCGTGCCCACCATGTTGCAATCCCGCAACGACTACCCCCCAGACTGCACTTGACTCTCTCCCCAGTGGCACTCCCACAAATGTTAACCTTAGTTTTGCAATCAAATCACTCTCAATCCTCGCATCTCACCCTCCATCCCCAGCCCTCCAAGGAATATCCCCCTTCCCCACCTTTACACAAGTCAGCCACCCCACTTTCTGCCTCTCTACATCAAGCAAAGACTCGTTCTTTGCAAGATCCTCCACGTACGCACTCGCTTCCCTCTTCAAGATCGCCAGATCCTCACTTAGACTGGCAACTGCGGAGGGCATGACCTGTTCGAGCATACGTCTCATATTCTCGTACGGCATGTAGCCCTCCCCCTTCCAAATCTTCCGATAGATGGTGCCGCGGCGGAGAGAGCCCTTAGGATCGTCGTGTAAGTTGGTAAATTCTTGAGCGAGAATGGAGCGGAATGTTGAGACGATAAACCACGTGTCGAATTCAGAGTTGACAAGAAGAGACACCGGGTGACTGCTCGCGCCGCGGCCGACGTGGATAGTGAGTAAGAGCAGGTCGCGCTCTATTTCTGTGCAGCGTTTGTTTAGCTCGAGGCTCTTGGCCGTGATGAGGCGGACGATTTCTTCTGGGAGAGAAGAGCGCGGCGTCGGCCATGGCCAACTGGGGTGCGCACCCGACATGTGTATCAGTGCTTCTGTGTAGATGGACTCGTTGTGCAGAGCGAGCGAGAGGAGGAGCCAGCGTGCGGGATCGTTTTTGATTGCACGCAGAAGCGCATGTCGGTGCTGGAGAAGGGTGGCATTGATCTGTGATCTTAGGTTGGGGAGATTGCCCAAGCAGCCCAGGTCTCTGGCGAGATTGGTGAGTTGTTCGGAGTGAGTGAGAGAGGCGGCGATGTTTGTAGTCGGAACGTTTATGGGCACGTTATAAAATGCTCTAAAGATTTGGTTGTAAATATCAATCGTGGTGGTATGGTCTGGAGTGATAGAGAACGGATTGCTTGAGTCGGAACCCTCGTCCTCGGTCTTGATTGCAACGTCGGCATCATGATGACTCCCAGCATTCGAAATGACTGGCTTTTCTTCGGTGGTTTGTTGTTGTACCAGGTCAACCTTACCATCGACCTCTTCAATAGTGTATGAAGCCCATGTCGGCCCTATTGTGGGCATCATAATGCTTGGAAGTGACTTTGAAAACCATGAGGAAAACCGTGTGAGAATGCTGCTGTGGAGTTGCCATTGTCTCGGCGGAGTTACCAGTTCCGTCTTGATGAAGATATCGCCTGTTGTGAGAATGGGGAAAGATTCGGCAGTAGTATGTAGTATGCTGGGTGTATGCGCCACTGTACCATCATGGGATGGTTCACGAAGTGTGTCCGGGGTTGGAGGACCCTGCGTGACCATACCGGCATGCGTTGAGACTTCTGGAGGATTGTTGATTGATTTGGTCTCTGGAGGAGATGCTTTTGGAGATGCGATACCTCTCGTGTTCGGCTTTGAAGGAGAGATATGGGTCGTGTCTGTTACTGGAAGATGGCCAGGTGAGGGTGGGCTTTTAGCATCGCCAGTATACTGCGAGGAAGACACCGAAACCGCAGAAGACAACTCTGGCGAGTCTGCATCTGAATCCGATGGTGAAATAACAGACTTTGAGTTCTCGATAGTCTTTTCTGATGTGGTGCCTTGCGAGCTCGTGGAGTTTGTTGTCGAAATTGTCGAAACATGTCGCTTACGTGCCTGCGCCGGCGACTGCGAACGGTCGCGCTTGTCCATTATGATATTGTGGGAAGCTGAAACGTAGAAGTTCTTGTAGAATCTACCGTTGTTCGAGGTTCTAATTGATAGAGGTAAGACTGGAGACTGGTTACGTATATACGGTTGTAGAAACCGCTGGGTGAAGGCGTCGAACTGGTGGTCATGACAGCAATGAGTCTGTCAGTCGAACTCTCCACTCCAGTGTAACGCTTTTGGCCAGCTCTGATAGCAGTCTGTGATGGCGGTCGGTAGGCGAAAGCGTGGATGTCGTCGTGATCATGAGTAGGCTGATCATCACAAGGTGAGAGACGATCCATGTTCCCACAGGTTGTGCGCGAACAGCTTTTAGAAAACGTGTTCCTGCTCCATAAAGTATCAATTCTCTAGTGTATTTGAAGTACCTGTTAAGCCACTTGTGAAGCTGCGAGACGTTGTAGCACACATCGGGCAAAGGTACTCGCCACAAGTGCGCAGTTTGGTATTCTTGGACACCTTCCGCATACTTGGACGATGATCGTTGCGCTCATAAAAAACGTACGCCCGAATGCTTCGTGTTCAATTCGATCGTGTTGTTCTTTTGACGTACTTGACATGTTGGAACAATCTGCCGGACTGGTAGGCCGGCATCCGAGGGTTCTAAACGTCACATAGGTACCACCGTAACAAGTATGCGCGAACAAGCCTTATCTAAACAGTTTCCATGCCGGATAAACCAGTGATCTCTTGGAATAGTGTGAACGACTGTTGTTTGAACATCGGCGGGACGATCCAGTGTAGGGTAAGAAGCACCATGACTTTAGAAAAGTGGGGCTTGCTAGATGCGAAAAACTGGCGTGGATGTGTGTCCTAGGCGAAGGCATCAGTGTAGCATCCTGCGACGGGAGATAAGCCTTGTTTGCGTATCGCCAGTGTTTCCAGAGTCGTGATAAACGGATTAGTAGTTCTCAAACGAGGGGCTGAATGTGACGTCAGGGTATCGCTCATTCTAGAATTACCTGCCGTTGCCGCGGAAGTGACACGAATCTCACGGCAGGAGCAACCTGATCAATTTGTGATCACAGAAGCCTGGTCTTACCCCGGCTGTTAACACTCTGATGCAAAACTCGTACGATTCCTTTTCAACACACCACAAGTGCCCACTGCTAGCCGAGTGGAGGCTAGCTCGGTCCTCTCGGAGTTATGTCCGCGCCCATGGGGTCGCTGCCAACATCGCTGTCGCAACTTGTGCTTGATGATCTCCCGACGCCGACCTCAAGAGCGGACGATGATTACGATCCCAACAGCCTTGCATACGACCTGATCAGATTCACACCCGCGCCGACTGTGATCTTAGATGCGTTGCTCTATGTGCGCCATGTCTCAGATTCGTTAGTAAAGCCTGTGAATAGGATCGCCTAATTCCTGCTATTTGCTGACATCTATCAGTTATGTGACTGCCTCAAACGCAGGAGATCGCGTTGATCTTGTAGGCCGACATGCCGATGACATTTTCGGCATATCCTCCACTATTCCTGCTTTTGCTCCAGCCCATGCGCTAGTAAGCGCTGCATGTCGAACTGGCAGCCTCCAGCAATCGAGAGCTGTAACAGATACGGGTATCGCCTGGCACCTGAGAGCAGTCCCGATTCTGCGCCACGGCATATTGCGCTGCATCCAGATGGAATTCCTCGACATCACCGAAGAACATCAGCGACAGCTTGAGTTCAGGGAACGCTCTTATCAGAATGAAACATTCCAATTGCTGGTAGCAACCATCAAGGATTACGCGA